ATGGTGATAAAATAAATTTGGAAAATGATGATCAAAATCTAGAGGAATTTTTAACAAAAGCAACCACAAAATTACATATTGTATACCGAACTTGGTTATCAAAGACAGTTTTCAAAGAGACCAATAATTCCAATTTTGCCTTTAAATTAAACTCAACCAAAGATTTTGGCCTAAATTTGAACAACACCAAAAATTTCACTGCAAAACTACTTGCCATTCGTATCAACTTCAAATTGACACAATTCCAAGACACCGCATCTGTTATTAAACATGTTTTAGAAAAGAATAGCTGGAAAAAAATTGGTGGACCATACTTACCAACAAAAAATATCAGCACAAATGGGGTAGGAGGTACTGAATACATTGTTGCAACAACTGAAGAGTCTAATCCAAAACCTTTTCTTGGTGATAAGAACAACTTAAGAATAAACATCATCAATAGTGACATAACCAGATGCACTAATTGTAACTCACTTGAACATAAGGTAGATTTCTGCTTGGAAAGATGTGCCTATTGTTATGGTCGTAAACATCGATGGAAAAAATGTGCCTTTAGAGCTGCTGATCAGAAGCGTGTTAGAAATAATGAAGCACCAAAGTTTAAAGGTTTATATTCCCAAAATAATTTTAGACCAACTAGTGATGAAACTGGAAATAAATCAAATAGAACTCAAAATTTTGACACAACAACTGGTAAACATAATAGTAACAACAATGGAAAACCTTCCCAAACAGAAGATGAAGATGGCTTTGTTACCAATAATTCACCAAAGCAAAGAAGAAGAGCAACTCAACAGCATGATGATAAACCAGAGACAGTTGCACACTCAAACCTATTTAACAACTTGCCTGAAGAAGCTGAAGAAGAGGAAGATGATGAACCAATGGAGGTTGAAGAAGATTTAGGAACTGAACAAGCAACTTCAAACAAACCAACTTCAACAAAACCAACATTGAATAGTGAAACTCCAATTTTCAACTTACCAAAACAAAATGGTAAAACAAAAAGATCATCTAGATCTCCAACTAGATCAAATAGAGCAAAAACTCAAGCTAAAACAAATGATGCAACCAATAATGATGAATGGAATCCAGGCCCTAGTTCATATTTTGGAAATATTACTCATATGCATCAAACAGAAGACGCTCCTAGAAAAACAACAGCCAGTGGTGGTGAGCCAACTGGAGCAAGAATGAATGATGAACGAGGAAAAAATGGGAGTGATGATTTGAATAGAGGTGACAATGGGAGTGATGTTTTGAATAGAGGTGAAAAAGGGAGTGATGTTTTGAATAGAGGTGAAAATGCTGGAGGTGATAGAAATGATATTGCAGAAGATGGTGGCAATAGTGGTGATACTAGAGGTGGAGCTTTTAATCCTGAAGGAATTGAAACCATGGAAGATGGTAATGGTTTTGATGATGAAGCAAATGACATCATGGAAGATAGTATTGTTATGGATGATGAACAAATTGAAATTGAAAACATGAAAGATGGTCAGAATGGAAATCAAGAGATTGAGACTGAGGAGAATGATTCAATGAATGATGAAGAAGAATTTTCAGATGAACCAGCTTTTGATGAAGAACCCGAAACATGGTACGACAGTACTATGGATGAAAGTATGTTGGAAATTGAAGAAACCAACGACTCTGAAACTAGAAATCCCCTTCCAAATAATTACTCACATGGAAGAGTTTTAAGATCACAATCCAGACAACTGCAAAACAACAATGAAGTATCTGATATTGCAGATGCTCCTTCAAATAATTTATGATCAGAGAAAAAATCAACTTCCACATAAGGGTAACCTCACAAAATATTGAGAGAGGTTTTTTCGCGAATTGGAATGAATTTGCAACCAAGATAAGAAATGAAAACAACAATACTATACAATGCTTCCAAGAAGCACAATTATCCATATCACAACATCAATTAATTAAACAATCACTAGAAAAAGGTGATAATTTCCAAATAATAGGAACCAATGAAAACAAAGCCAAAATCATCATATCCAAGGATGAATATATTCACATAGAAGAATTAAATCACTTCCACAATAGTGAATTCCAAAACAACATCAATATTATCAAATGTCAACAATCAACAGATACCCCTTTGATGCTACTTATCAATGTTTATTCCCCACAAGAATCCTTTAGTGCTCCTTTTTATGAATTATTAAGGGAAAAATTAGAAGACATCGAGAATGAACTAAGTGAAGCTGAAAAACAAAATTTTTTAATGATCATTACAGGTGATTTCAACTGTATTTTGGACAATACACTCAAGAATGTTGATCGACTCTTTGAGTCTTCGAAATTCTCTCAGACTAGATCTATGATTGAGCTTAGTCGTCTAATGGTGGAAAATGGTCTTGACGATATCTTTGAACATCAGGATACCATTCTGAAATACCCACATGGAGATGTTTTTACCAATGAGATGTCTTCCAATGCTGCTAATCCAGGAAGAAAGAAGAGGCTAGACAGGTTTTTGATTAGTGACAATTTTTCAAAAATGGGAATACAAGCCACATATGAAAGAACAAAAAGAAGAATTTTCAAATCAACACATTTTGGTATAAAGCTAGACTTAAGCACTTTGAATGGACAAGAATCATCACAAAAATCAAATAGATTCCATACAGATGACAAATTACTGAAAGAATTACCTCAATTGAAAGAAATTATAAAAATTTCTAGACGAGATGTTGAGAAAATCTTCAATGATGACCATTTAGCCAAAATTCTGTACAACAAATTATGTCAGCATTATGATGATGATACAGAATATAAGTTGGATGATAATATTGAGGATGAAATTGACAAAATTCTAGATATGTATGAATATATTATGGAAAAATTTCAAGATTTTTTGAAAAAAGAGTTGAAAAGTTCAAAAATCATGAAGAAACAACATCAAGATCAAGAAATAAGTTGCATCAATCCAGGTTCCAGAATCTCAAGAAACAACAGAGATAATATCCCTCTATCAGTTGAAAACAATAAAAAACTGATGAAAAAGAGAGAAAAATCGGTTGAAATGAAAAAATTGCAAAGTTTAGATGGAGAGAAAATTATTACTGATGAAAAGGAGATTCAAGATGAAGCCTTACTATTCTATAATAATCTATTTAACATTAAATCTGAATTAGCAGATGATGAATTAGAGAGAAAATCTGAAGAATATGTCAAAAGATTTGCTGAAGAAAAGAAGATTAGTGAAGAAGACTATAAATTATTGGATAAACCATACCAGAAAGATGAATTAGAAAAAGTATGGAGATGGTACAAGTCTAAAAGTACAGCTGCTGGAAAAGATGGTATTACATATGCATATTTGTTTCTATCAAGAGATGCTTTAGA